CACCTGAAGAAGGCTCCACGGCCGAAACGTTTTGTTCTCTTTCTTCTTTTTTTCAGCATGGAATAAACCTATTACTTGTTCCTTTGCAGCCTACGCATGCTGACGCAGCTACCCACCTGAACTAATATTATTATATTATTCTTCCTTACATTTATATAGTTCTTAACTGTACACTCCACTCAAAGCACTTTACAGGCAATGGGGATTCCCCTCCACCCACCAATGTGTAGCCCTCACCTGGATGATGCAACAGCAGCCATTGTACACCAGTATGCTCACCACTCATCAGCTATCAGTGGGGAGGAGAATAGAGTGATGAAGCCAATTCATAGATGGGGATTATTGGGAGGCCATGATTGATGTAGGCCACTGGGAAATTGGACTAGAACAACAGGCTAACACTCTTATTCTTTTGATCAAACGCCCTGGGATTTTTAATGTCCACAGAGAGTCAGGACCTCATCCGAAGGACGGCTATGCTGTAAAAAGGTGTTAGGACCCACACAGACCACAGGGTGAGAATCTTGCTGGCCCCAATAACACCTCTTCCAGCAACAACCTTAGTTTTTCTCCAGGAGGTCTCTCATCCAGGTACTTACCAGGCTCACACCTGCTTAACTTCAGTGGGTTGTCAGTTGTGAGTTGCAGGGTGATATGGCTGTAGTTATGGGAACATACTTGTGATCAGCATCAGACTTCTGTCTTTGACTTGCTTGCACTTGAAGGAACAACTGCGGATTATACTGCTGTACAGTATATCTGGAGGGTTTTCAGAGTCATGGTTTTCATGACCATTTTGTTTAGTGAACGTTTGAGTTCCTTTGATTTGTGAGGGCACACCAGTCATGCCAGGAAAGTGGACTGCAATACCTTAGTCAAAATATGTCTGTATGGAACCGCTCCACATAGACCTACTGTAACTGCTGCAGAAGTAAACAAAGGTCAGAAGATGTGTTAGAGAAACTACTCATTGAATCACAAAAGAATAAATGAATATCCAGGAGAGCCTGGGCAACATTTCTTAGCCATTTTCTGTACGTTGTCAATCTGTTTATGCAGGGCACAGTCCTCCATTAACCAAAAATTCAGCTGGCTATGGGCCCCTTCGCTTGCATGCTCTCTCTCTACCCTGGGTTCTGCCTAGAGCTCAAGGACCTGTCTATAGACGGGACACCACAGTGGCCACAGGCACACACAATCACCAGGGAAAACAGCGTAACAAACACAGGAACAGGGGGAACAAGAGGAACTTTGCACAATAGAGGACCTTGAATGTCTTAAGGGGTCTGTATCATTTACAATACAGTATATACATTACAATATGATATTCAATACAGCAAGGAGAAACATGGGGCACACAAAATGAGCCTGGGAAGGCAGGCTGGCTCACACAGCTCTGCTTTGATTGTTCATTAGGCTGAACTGGGAAAAAAAAAAATTTCAATTGACCACACCCTGGCAGATCACGCTTTCAAAACCGCTTCCCATGAACGTGCTTCTCTATTGTGTTCATTTATCTCCCTGAAGATCGTTGTTAGATTTCTGTATGGGGATCAAGATAAGTGAGGTCACGTTTAAAAAAAATCAACCAAAACAAATCTATTCTCTATGTTCGTGAATAATTAAATGTGTGTATTTTGCGAGGGCTCATCTCTCAAAAAGAAACTACTTAATTTCTGCTCTGATATTTTCTTATTTTTAGCATTTGTATTTTGTCAACTAATGGTTTGAAACCCAGACTGATACTTGAATAAAATACCAGAGGACTGATTTGATAAATTCGAATTCCCCGTCTATATTTCATGTTCACAGATGTGAGTGTTTGCTTATTACCACTCTCAATATTCTTGAGTTGTTCTATTGATTTTATAAACTGAGTTTTGAACACAAAAACATGCCTGGAAAAGCTCTGATATTTCAATTGCAGAACTACTATTACTTATATAATTGGTTTCATTGTGCCATCTAGTGGATCTATTTAAACATGAAAATCGGTCAATCTAAATGATTGCATATGAATGCACTTAGATTCAAAATGCCCAAGGTGGCAATTTAAGCAGCAAGTGGTGTAATGTAAAGCATACAGTATATACTGTATATAAAAACAAAAATAGCAGAAGGGTAATAAAATGATTATGAAAGAAATAGTGTGAATTGGAAGTACTCTTTCCTATACAACACAATTAATAATTATCGGATCCTCAAATGTTCAGAAGACTGATGAAGGATATGAGATGGGTCTTCAATGTTGGCACAGGCATTCCTCAGGATCTGTTGGGCATAATGCTGTGCCAGGGATCCTAAAGGCTCCCCAATTATGTTAGAGGTTCACAACAGTTTGAAGGTGATTTTAGTCTTTTCGACTGATATGAACCAACAGATAGAAGAAAAGGTTTTGATAAAAGAACTATTAAAAGTTGATAGAATTCTGTTTTTTTTGGACTCCAAAGGAAGTCTTTTTTTAAAAAAAACGTGCAAGCACTGCTGGATTTCTTCACAATGACATCAGTGTTCTCAGTGGATTTAAGTTTGTCATCAAAAACAGTGCCCAGATATTTGTAACTGTGAACCATACTGTGCCAACAGACTCATGGGATTGACTCACAGAACATGGATTGTTGTGGGAATTATATTGCTTTTTTAAATCAACAATAATTTCTTTTGTTTTTCACACATTCATCTCAAGATAAAAAGTACTGTATGACCGCAGTTGATCTAGAATGGATCTGTCCAGGCTCTGACTACTACACCGTAGTAGTCACTCATTAACAAACTTGACATACTTAAATAATTTTGACAGTTGGTCCGACAGTCACTATATACGATGAAAAGGAGGGGCTGAGGGAAATCAGCAAAGAAAAGTCCAGGTAAAGAAGGTTTCTGCTCTAAATGTTTATAAAGGAGATCTAGTAGAAACTCCTCTTCCAGGATGAAAGGCATCCAGTTTCCCAGCAAACTGGAGGGAGTTCAGATCTGACTCCACAATTATTATTATTATTATTAAGAGTCATAACCACTTATTAATGCACTGTATGCACTAATAGATAGATAGATACTTTATTGATCCCGTGAGGGAAATTGCAGAATATAACTATATTTCAATCTCAATTTTAATCTTAAGTGTTTTAAAAATCCTACACATGTAGTTTTGTCTTTAACCACAAAACATGCCTCAGAATATACAGCAGAACAAAAAACATACAACATTAGGGAAAAGGCTGCTATTAAACGTACAAAATAATAAGTAAACTTGTGTTCAAGATTCTGGCATGTTTAGCTCTGGGGAAAGTCCAGGACATACACAACTTGACAACATGCTGATACCATTTCAAAGCCCATAACTCACATACACATTTTAAAATGCAGATCTAACTGGAAGAAGTATGTCACAAGGATTGTTTTCACAAGACATTTTCACATTTCACAAGAAACAAACACAAGAACCAGTAAGGATGTCCTTTGCCCTAACTGAAATCAGTAATACAGTACTGTATGTCAATGATTAATGATGAGAACATATGATGTAGTTCTCTTACTGTGCTCTAGTAAAACATTTCATAGACAGCAATAACTGGACTCTAAATACAGTACATGACAGTGAGATGTCCAATCTGGATAAAGCATTCTGTCAGCTGCTTTATGTAGGTGGCCTTACCCCATGATTTTATTAATAGAAACTTACAGTATCTCCCAGCTGTTGATGTTAGCTGTCATAATGAGAGATTATGATCAAATAACAGTTTTCCTGGGAGATTGGGGACGATTTCAGCAAATAGTATTCTTTCTTCTTTGTGCAAGCACGATTCCAAATGGGTTTAGCGCATTTTCCATCGTGTTCTTGGGTGACACTCCAGCTCATAAATGCTTTATACCTGCGAGTGTGAATGTCAGTGCTGTATGGAGAAATTTTTCTATCCCCCTTGAAGAAGTCAATGGACAGAAACAACCCAGCAAGTGCAGAAGATACAGGCTGGATGTGATCAGAAATTTCTCTAATTTGAATTACATCCCAGGTGTGGATGTAAATGTTAGTGAGATAGAACAGGAGAGCTGTCTCAATGGGTGGGAATACAGTAAAGAGATGTACAAGTCCACTGTTGTAACAGAGGTAAGTGTACCAAAGTGCAAAGTGCTACATTTTCCGTGAAGTGATCATGTTTTCCACATTTGCGTTTTGTTTTTTTAAATGTATTTAATATAGGATTTTAAGTTTAAGGATTTTAAACTGCCAGCAAGGAGAGTCAAGTTGTTAGTTCATGTATGAGCCCTGGAGACACATTAGAACATGTCACTCACTCAGCCTGATGTGAAAATGGAGCTGGTACCTTATACCCAAGGTCAATTAAACCAGTCCAGGGGGGCTGATGGAGCATGAGATACTAGCAAGAAGAAGTCATTAGGCATATTTTTTTTGTCAGCTAATTAACTTCCTAATATCATCCAGCCACAAATGAGAGGAAGTCTGTCAAGCTAATTGGTTTTAGTTATATAACCAGAAATGGTCATGCTGGGAACATTCTCCAGAAACAGACAATTCAGAGCAAAATTGCATTTCTTTGTGTGCTGAGAGAAAGCTGAAGTGTCTGGCAAAAAGCTGTACAAATTTAGGAAGAGCAGACAAACTTCACACAGAAAAGTGCTGAAAGCTTGAATGTACAGTGCCTATAGAAAGTCCCCCTTGGAGTTTTTCACATTTTATTGAGTTACAGCATGGAACCATGATATATTTAACTGAGAATGTTTGGCACTCATCAACACAAAGTACTCTATAATGTCAAAGTAAAAAAAAAACTTAATTAATTAAAATAGAAAACAGAAAATAATTGAATGCATAAGTATTCACCCCCTTGCTTTGACATACCTAAATTACCTCTGAAGTAACCACTTCTTCTCCAAGTCACAGAATTACTTGACTGGAGTCCACCTGTGTACAGTTGAGGCGTTTCACATGATTTCAGAATAAATAAACCTGTGTCTGGGAGCTTCTCCACTTAGTGCATTTCCAAGGAAACACTACTGTCACACCATCCACAGCCAGAGGGCGCTCCCACTCTCTCATGTCCCTAGTTTCCTGTGCTTTGCTTTCCTTCCGGTGTCTCTCTCTCTCTGGGGCTATATATTTCCAGGTCTCTTATTCTCCTTCGCTCAGCATTGAAGTTCGGATGTCCTGAAACCCGCCTAGCACCAGGTCCCCCCATGTCCGCTACCTGAGGACATAGGTTTCTATATGGCGTTTCCTGAACAGCTGAGCCCGGGCTAACCCCCGTCTCACTGCTACGCATACGGTCTTTTTTGCTTTCCTGCCATTCCATGGTTTGTCCCTTCCGACATCTGTGACAACTACACCATGAAGACCAAAGAACATTCCAAGCAGATCCAAGACAAGGTTCTTGAAAAATACCAGTAAGGGGCAAGGATATAAGAACATTTCCAAGGCATTGAATATACCTCGAAGCACAGTGAAGTCCATTATTAAAAAGATAAGAAAATATGGAACAACTGTAAATCTGTCCAGTACTGGCTGTCCTCCAAAACTGAGTGTCCAGGCAAGAAGAGTAAGGGAAGCCACCAAGAGGCCTATACCAACTGTAAAGGAGGTACAGTCCTCTATGATAGATGGGAGAAACTGTGAATGAGACAACAATAGCACACACACTTCATAAATCTGTCTTGTATGGAAGGGTGGCAAGAAGAAATTGAACTTTATGTTTTGCTCCAACCTAACACAGCACATCACACTGAGAACACCATCCCTACAGTGAAGCATGGTGGTGGTGGCAGCATCATGCTTTTGCAGATGCTTCTCTGCAGCAGGGACTGGATAACTCATAAGGATAGAAGGAAAAATGGATGGAGCTAAGTACAGAAAAATCCTGGAGGAAAATGTACTGCAATCCACAAGAGCACTGGGACTTGGAAGATGATTCATCTTCCAACAGGACAATGACCCGAAACATACAGCAAAAGCCACACTGGAGTGGCTTAAAACCAAAAAGGGTAATGTCCTGGAGCGGCCCAGTCAAAGCCCAAACCTCAATCCAATTGAGCATCTGTGGAATGACTAAAAAATTGCTTTTCACAAACGGTCCTCATTCAACTCGATGGAACAATTTTGCCAAGAAGAATGGGCACAAATTCCAATGTCAAGATGTGCAACTCTGATAGAGACCTACCCAAAAAGACTCACAGCTGTAATTGCTGCTAAAGGTGGTCCTACCAAGTATTAACTTTTTTATTTTTAATTAATTTAGGAAAATGTCTGGATTTTTACTCTGACATTATAGAATACTTTGTGTTGAAGAGTGGCAAACATTCTCAGTTAAATACATCATGGTTCCATGCTGTAACATAATAAAATGTGAAAAAGTCCAAGGGGGGTTTAGACTTTCTATAGGCACTGTATATATTTATATACTGTGTTATATGAATAATACTTTATTTAAAAAAAACAACAATAATATTTAACTTTTTCTGTTAGTATGATCTTGTCTGCAACAACGAATGGAAAGAGCCTCTCACCTCTTCTATTTACTTCCTGGGAGTGTTGTGTGGGTCCTTTGTTTCTGGACAGCTCTCTGACAGGTAGTAACACTCTAAAGATCACAGTATTTTACTGTGACCTAAGAACAAGGAAAAGAAGCTAAGACTCTGTGTACCATCCCTAATTTTGATTTTGTTTCAACACTGAGCAGGTTTGGCAGAAAGCCAGTGCTGTTTGCAACAATGGCAATACAGACTGTCTTCACTTTCATCCAAGTCTTTGCTCCATCCTGGGAGGTATTCTGCATATTATTCTTCATCGTGGGACTGGGCCAGATTTCCAACTATGTGGCAGCATTTGTACTGGGTAGACTAATACTTTCCTGGCTTTGTGGTTGAAATATGTCTGTTGTTGTTAAGAGCAAAATATAATTTCCATTAATGATAGCTTTGTACTGAACCAAAAGATTGCACAAAGGAAGAATCTGAAAACAAATACACAAGCATTAACTAACAAAAAACCCACAGAGATTATTCAAATTCTTTTTCTCTTGCAGTGAGAAGATGCATAGTTTCACCTTTAATGTAGCTGTCAAGAGTGATGTACTGTAGACATGTCCTGACTGGCATTTGGCTTGGTTCTATTCATTTGGAGCTCTGCAGAACAAAACAGATATACTGTATACTGTAAGGAGTAGAAGACATCCTAAAGGGATCCCAAGTATAACAGTAAAACATTTATAAAATAATCAACTGTTAATAGTAATATCATATAATATTACAAATATAAAAATATAATTTGACAGGAAGAAATAAATGCACAATACAATCTACATTTTTAAAATATTTTTAACAAATATTTTCCAATTTTCTGCAGGTACAGAAATATTGACCAGGTCTTTGCGTGTTCTGTATTCGTCTCTGGGAGTGTGCATGTTCTTTGCACTTGGGTACATGATGCTCCCTTTGATGGCTTTCTTTATACGAGACTGGAGGATGCTCCTGATTGCCTTGTCAATGCCTGGGCTCATCTATATCCCCCTGTGGTGGTAGGTCTCCTGTTTCGTGGCTGGTTGAAAATGGAAAAGGGTTTGGTTACGGGCTTGCACCCTTGTGCTAAGAGATTCTCTAACAGCTGTCTATGATGCAGGTTGATTCCCGAGTCACCAAGGTGGCTGCTGTCTCAGGGCAGAGTGGCAGAGGCTGAGGCCATACTGAGAGAGGCAGCAAGGAGGAATGGGATCACTCCGCCTGAAGTCATATTCCATCCATCAGAGGTAAACCTTGACCCCTTTTCTTTAAATGGAAAATGAGGTTAAGTAGTTTTTCTGATAATTTTTAAGAGGAAGTACTGAACAAAGTACTGCAGAAGCGGCGGTAAGAGGTAAGAGGATCATCAGGCCAGGTTTTATGAGGAAGCAAATAAGGACATAGAAAATTGAATTCTATGGGGACTCTGTTAAAACAGGTTGTAGAGCTTGGTCTGTGGGTCTGGTCTGAACTTAGTTAGATCTCTACATTTTAAAGCCTACAGACATCTGTGGTAAGGCATTTTTTTTGCTGACTAGAAAGAGTATGTGACATTCTCTAACAGCTCGATTTCAGAATATATATTCAGTCTTATTGTAAATCAGTGTAAGTCCTTTTAAAACTGATATGAACACACAGAAATGGCCAAAGCTTTAAAGTTATTTGAGAGAATAAAGGTGTGTTTTTGTTCAGTTCTCCTGTAGGCCTTTCTTTAACTTCAAATGCCAAAACTATGCTGTGACTTCTTGCATTCCTACAGGGTAAAATCTACAGAGGAGTAAGGAATAAAATTTTGACACAAGTTGTATAGTGTTACTACATGTCACATTTCCTGATATTGGCAGCATCTAGTTTCAATGTCTCAATCTCAATCTTAAATCTCAATCTTGCTAGCAGCCATAACACCCTGCAACTGACTGCCTAGTCAGTTCCTGGATGGGAGACCTCCTAGGAAAAACTAAGGTTGCTGCTGCAAGAGGTGCCAGCGTGGCCAGTAGGGGGCACACACCCTTTGATCTGTATGGGTCCTAATGCCCCAGTATAGTGATGGGAAGACTATAATGTAAAAAGGCGCTGTTCCTTGGATGAGACGTAAAACTGAGGTCCTTAAAAATCCCTGGGCGTTTCTTGAAAAGATTAGGGATGTAACCCTGGCATCCTGCCAAATGTCCCATCGGCCTTTACCAATCATGGCCTCCTAATAATCCCGATCTATGAATTGTCTTTATTATGCTGTTCTCCTCCCTACTAATAGCTGATGTGTGGTGAGTGTTCTGGCACACTATGGCTGCTGTTGCATCATCCAATTTGGGGCTACGCATTGCTGGTGGTGGTAGAGGGGAGTCCCCATTACCTGTAAAAAGCACTTTGAATGGAGTGTAAGCAATTATCAGTATAATTATTATTATTATTAAATCCGTGGACTGCCACTGATCCCTGGAGCAATGCTGACCAGTCCCTGCTATAGCCTTACAGATAAAGTTGTATTCTTGCTATAGTATGGACAGTTTATCCCACTATCTTGAACACATTAGACTCAATGTGTAAATTTGCTGTTAACTGCACACTTTTCACTACCATAAACAACACATTTTAATTACACATGCAAGTGATCTTTAATATCTGTTAAATACAACTATTAAGTTTGTTTTCATAGCTGTTTTTCACCAGCAAAAGGGGTCAAGACCTCGAGAGGAGGTAGAGAGTCAGTGTGTAGTTGTCTGAAAACTTGGGTTCTTCTCTAAGATGACAGAAAAAATATAGAAAAATTCCCTAAGGGTTTTGTAGATGAGAAGAGAGCACCTTAGCTGGAGAGCCAATGGCTTGGTTCTAAGTTGATCGAACAGGACTTGTGTGAGAATGTAATATAGATTTAGAAGCTCAGGTGGTGCTGAAAAAACACTCTCAAGCGATAATCAGGCAGAGAGGAACAACTAGCCATAACTGAACCAGCCATATCACCCTGCAGCTCACACCTGACAACTTACTGAAGCTAAGCAGGTGTGAGCCTGGTCAGTACCTGGACAGGAGACTTCTTGGGAGAAGAGGAAGAGGTGTTAGTGAGTCCAGTAGGGGGCACTCACCCTGTGATCTGTGTGGGTCCCAGTGCCCCAGCATAGTAATGGGGACACTGTACTGTAAAATACTGTAGGTGCTGTCCTTTGGATGAGAGGTAGAACCGAGGTCCTGACTCTCTGTGTTCATTAAAAATCCCAGGGTGATTTTTGAAAAGAGTAGGGGTGTTATCCTGGTGTCCTGGCCAAATTTCCCATTGGCCTTTACCAATCATGGCCTTCTTATAATCCCCATCTGTATAATCTGACCTCATCACTCTGTTCTCCTCCCCGATGATAGCTGGTGTGGGCTATGGCTGCCATTGCATCACCCAGGTGGATGCCGCACATTGGTGGTGGTGGAGGGGTGTCCCCATTAGCTGTAAAGCACTTTGAGTAGAGAGTCCAGAAAAGCGATATATAAGTGAAAGCAATTATTATTAATAATAATAATTAGAGAGCTGCCTTGGTGGTGTTAGGGGCTCTCTAGTGGTGAGCAGGGGAAGATTCCTGCCACTGTGATGTGCATAGCACATACTGTACATCAGCACTGACCATGTACTTCAGACGCATATAGCACAACCCGTGAATTTAATCAAATTTAACCATCAAAGTCAAATATGTATGGATGCATCAAAAAGGCATTATGTTTCACAGTTTAGATATTTCCAAAACAACAGAAAAATTTCTTTTGTCTCTGTGAAAGCATCAAGGATCATTTTCTAAGTGACCGGGATTTTTTTCACATTCCAGTTAACAAAAATGGTTTGATATTTTAAGAAAAGTTTGAAAGTCATTTTCCAAGCAAACAAACAGAGGATAACCTGTGCTGAAATTAATTTCAGCTTTGGGTTACTTCATATGTTTATTTTCCTCCTTTTGGAGTTTCCTGTGACAAGCACTAGGTTCTTGTAAATGTATTAAATTACACCTCTGACATTTATTTTATTGCAAAAATAAAGTTTTCAGGCCTTTATGAATATGTGAATTATACTAATATTCTTTTTTTATAGGGTGAAGAGACTCAATCTAAAAAAGAGGATGCCAATAGCTTCCTTGATCTTCTAAGAACCAGAAACATTCGCCACACCACACTCATATTGTTTCTTGTGTGGTGAGCAACGAGATGTTTCTCTGGCTTTTTCCTCTTTTCTGGTCAATACCACTCAACTCCTCCCTCCCCTAAAATAAATAAAATCAACCTCGATTTTCCCAGGATGATTTCTTTTCATTACTTCTAGAAAACCACAATTCCTGACTTTGAAGCTTTCAATTTACCCTTTCCATGTTGGACTGTTTCAGTGTGAGTGCAAATTTGGACAGTGGTAAGGGACTGAAGAGAGAAAGTCCAACCGTTATTGCGCTGTAAAAAAAATGAATTATAACCTTTTCCAAGAATCATAATCAGCAAGAGGGGGTGCTTCATAGTATGGAGAATCAAAACAAGAAGTACAAGCAGTGTTATCAGTTCCTTAAGTGATTACAGTCTATGAGCTTTGGTCATATTGAGTGATTACAGCTAGGCTGCCTTCACTGGCATGTTGAATCTCTTTGGACTAGAAAACAGCCTTTAAGACACATCATTTGTAACTTTTACAGATCAGCACTGTTGATTTAAGATTATTTATTTATGGATGATATTTAAATATCAAAATGCACATCATAATTTCGCTGCCATTAGTTCAATTATAATGCTAAACCTGGCTACAGGTCCTTCTGACATTTTCTGGTTGTTGGCATTTATCTTGTTAGTCAGCAATGAAATGTAATTGTTTCCAAAATCCATTTCACACTTTTATTTTCTCCTTTTTAATCCAAATCCAAGATTACAACTGAGAGAAAGCATTAAAGAATGTAGCAGATTTACTGTTAGTAGCTGCCCTTAAAAATTATTGAAAATATGTCTGCAAAAGCCTTTCAGAGCAATTTGAATTGGCAATCTGAAAGTGAATTAATGAACTGAGAAACAGCAGTCTGCTGTTTAACTTTTTGTGGGGGGGGGGGGGTTTCTGTGAGTGCAAAAGACCGCAAGGTTATGATTTATGGAGACAGAAATATGAAAGACAATCAGACTCCTTTGGTATACATGTGATATTAGCAGATATGATACCTGCTATTGCCAGGGACATTTACATGTCTCATTTGCTTCAAAATGGATAAAGTAAACTTGTACTCAAATAAGATATCCTTGCTATATTTATGTACAGGTAGCTGATCAGGGATAGAACTGTTTTTAATTTAATTTTAATAAAATAATATAGACCTTGTTAAAGAGATGTACTGTATAGTTTTTGGAAAAAAAGACACTGTAAATAAAATATGAAGGAGGAAAAATAAAGTTTTCCAAAAATGTTAGGGATTAAGCCCCTTTTTGTCTGTTTTAGTATGCAGTATCTTGTTGCTAAGTAAGCTTTTTCTTTTAGGTGGACTTTAAGTATGGGATACTTTGGCTTGTCTTTGAACACGTCCCACTTACATGGAAATCCATATCTCAACTGCTTTATCTCTGCTGCTATTGAAATCCCTGCTTACACAATCACCTGGATATTCCTTCGATATTTGCCCAGGAGGCTATGCACCTCAGCTAGTATGATTCTCGGTGGGGGAGTGCTTTTCTTCATTCAGCTTGTACCACAAAGTAAGAAATGCATGTTGTCAACTTGCACAACTGGCCTGGTGTTGACTGTCATTTATCTAAATATATTCTTTAATATTTTTCCAGGTTTACCCATCTTGGCTGTTACTTTGGAGATGGTAGGAAAGTTTGGCATGTCTATTGGAACAGCCCTAGTGTTTGCTTACACCGGGGAGCTCTATCCTACAGTATTAAGAAACACTGCTGTGGGATCCTGTACAATGGTCTCCAGAATAGGCAGCTCTATTGCTCCTTACTTTATCCATTTGGGTAAGATGGCAATGATACAGTACACTTCCTTTTAATGGAACATAAAGGGTTCAAACACACTTATCTCAATAATATCAAATATCTCTTCCAGCTTGTCAAGTGATTTAAAATGTAAAGTTTGTACCAACACCTTGCATTTTGTGGAGCATGTTTTTACTGTTTACAAAGACGGACATGTCTGTTATTTCAGAGGAATGGAATTGAACGTTCCAGACCCCATCAAAGAATAAGACCTTGTCATATTTGGCACAGACGCACCCTGTCTAGTTATTGGGTTCTTCAAAAATATATACATTTCCATTAAAGGACAAAAGCTACTGTAATCTCTAGTGTTTGCTTGAATGGACAGTTAAAAAAAGGTCACATTCTGCATGTACATTCCATAAGTACTGTACATGTTTAAATTGATAAATAATTTACAATTGCCCTCCAGGATTGAAGGTTTTGTAATCGATCAAATAATATTAAATTTTTGTAAATGGGATCCTGCAATATACTGTATATATAGTATATAACATTTAATATTATATTATTAGGCGTATATGAATATCTGTGCAGACAGAATACAAAAAGCATATAATATCTAAGCATCTCAGACATATATCAGATCTTGACAATACAAGTTTAATGACAAATGACAGTGATCAAATGTCAGCCCTTGAGTCATATAAATAAATTATTGATGCTGTCAGTGTAAAATCTTTTGAATGAAACTTTGGCAGGCTTCATTGCCATTTCGAATGTCTCATTTACCCTTTTCGGTATTACCTTGCGCCTCACTGCTTTATGAGACACAGAGGTACATACCCCTACCGCGCCATTCATTGGGCATGCTTGTTTATTAACAGATTAGGGCTAATTACTCATCTGGTGAATTGAAAGGGAAAGTGAATTGGCATGCTAGCACTTCAGTGATCTATCTTGCAGGAAAATCAGATTCCTGACTGAACCATCACATGACTTGATTTCTTTTCAGATGAACGAAGGATTTTGATAACATGCAATCTTCTCTTTTGCTAGGCACATTTTCTAAGTACCTACCATACATTATTTTGGGAAGTCTCACTGTTCTTGCAGCTGTCCTCACCTTCTTTCTACCTGAAAGCTTCGGAAAGCCACTGCCAGAGACCATTGAGCAGATGCAGAAAAGAAAAGGGTGAGCAAATGGGAGATATGTGCTTTCAAATTACTCTTTCCCGAGCAGACTTCTCATCCCCCTTGCTTTTGTGTAAATTGTATGAATTTATGTGGGAAGCAGACTTCAGACTTGAGGTCTGCTGAATCTGTTGGCAATTAATACATGATTTTTTATTTTATTTTTTGCTCTGATTCTGGGGACCACATTGTATTGTTAATAAGATCTATAATGATCAATCCAATTGTTATGTTTTTAATGTGTATTGTACATTTCCTCACAGGTTAAAAACTAGAAATGCTTCAAATAAAAAGAAAGATTCAGCTGAAACAAGAGATCCTGAAGTCATTAAAGAGGAGCCATTTTGATAGAGTCAGTATTTTCTGGAAAGAGCTTAGTCTTCACATACTGCTACTGTACATGGACCCTTTTCTATCTATATTTACAGTATGTTCTTATTGTAATGTTTATTACAATTAGTACAATGTCATAATACCGTATGTAATAAACATTACTGTAAAATATGATAAATTATAATAGACTGTATTACAGTATAATATGCAATATTCACAATATTAGGACATGTCAGGACATTTACAGTATATAAGGTAAGGCTATCAATTTGAATATAGCATTTTTATCACAATTTTGTTTAACTTCCAAAAACAAGGGAAGCTATAGTTTTCGTGCATGGCCTAAATGACTCGCATTTAAGCAAACAAAAAATAATGATACCTGTACTTAACAGAAATTTTAAATAAAAGGAATTCTTGGTATAAAGTGTGCAGTTTGCATTCTTCTCTAACATCATGCGCTTTTAGAAACTTGATATTTCCAATACTTACACCACAGTTAATAGATTCAGGCATTCTTCCACTTTTCTTGAGGGATCTTCTGAACAATGCTTATGATTTATGAAATTATGTAATATATTTAATCATATTAAGCTTGTTTGTGTGAAGTTAAACAGTATGTTTGGAATCTGCAGAAATACAGTGCATTACATTTTGTTTAAATAGTGCAACATACGTATCAGCGCAATGGAGCTTGTATGTTCTCCTCACGTGCATGTATGTTTCCTCCAGATTCTTCAGCTTCCTCCCACAGACCACAAGCCAGACTGGTACGTTAATTGGCTCCTGGAAAAACTGGCCCTGGTGTGAGTGTGTGTCTGTATCTGTATTTCTTGTGATGGACTGGCTTCCTGCCCAGGGTGTAACCTGCCTTGTGTCTGTTAGGATAGGCTCCTACTAGGAAATAGATGGATGGATGGATGGATAGTTCACATGGTTTTACAGGCCATATACAGGGAATATAGGGAATATAGGCACTCCATAATGTCTCAATTTATTTAATAAATTAATTACATTTTTTCAACTATTTTTTTCAAAAACATAGCTACACAAAGTGGATTAAATTCCATACTATAACATGAAGCATTACATTTCTTTTACTATTAGTATGAAAACAGAGATCAGCTAAGAACACATCAACAAGATGTGCAAAATGTATGGAAAGAAGTTTATTCAGTAGGTGGATAGTTTTCTTCTGAAACACTTCTGTTCTTGTTTGACGGCACTTCGTCATTTTTCACAGCAGCATTTCTCTTGCATTTGTGTTCAGACAAATCACCCCCTATTATGAAAATGTCTTCTTTACTGCTGATTTAAATAATTCATTTAAAATTATTTAAAATTATGCAGAATATTTAAATTCGTACGCAGAATGAGGTAGGTGTTAACATTACTGTTTGGAACTGCCGACCTCAAAATGTTTCAGACACATTCAGTGGCGTACTTCCCAAATACTTAAAGCACTAAGACTTCATCATAATGTAATCCTTATTCTGAGGTAGACAAAGTCACGTTTGAGGCAATTTTTCTTTTTGATTGTGACACATTTAAGATACCGTATAAGCTCTAAAACCAACATGAAGTTATATCAAATATTCCAGATCACTGATTTATGGTGATTCCAAATCACCATAAATTGGTTACTGGCAAAACTTGTACTGCTTTAGAGGTAAGGCTTCAATGAAGGGCTAAAATATTAATTTCTTTCCTTGTCAGATATTAGCTTAATTGTCATGAACTGTCTATTCAGTGCAGCACAAAGTATAATATCTTGGATTCAATAAAATATTAAACTGTTATTATGTGCCTGTCTCTCCATATTTCTGAGTAGAATACAACAAAACTTTTATACTATATGGTCAGTACAGTCAAGTGTATCAGAACATGTTTTCCCTGAATTGTGCTCATGGCACTGTGTATAATGTATAGACTTGGACTTGGTTTGTCCCAAGGATTCAAAGTTCCAAAAGGATCCCATCACAGTGTCTCAGTTTCGAAAACAGCAGAATTATTTGGTTCCACTTCAACTCTATCGTTAAGATTATAAGACGTTTTTGTCCTCTTACACCTAAAGAGGAAAAAAAAGGTAAAATAAGTTGTTCCCTGACATGATTTTAAACTTTCATTCAGAAAACAAAAAAGGTGCAAGGAGCCAATTTAAAAAAATTATAAGTCTTATGTAAAGAACATTATAATTACTGAATAACACCATGAGTGTTTTAATATTTCTAAAATACTAAATCTGAAAATAATAGATATTATGATGCCTTTCCACATGTAACTTGAAAATGATAAAGCTGACAGCATTTTAGCAAACAATATTTGAACAAATTCTCAACAGACCTTCACAGTCAAAAAAGACATCTTACCATGTTATTTTCTGCATTTGTACAATGGTGTCAGGGAGAGGCATTCCAAAACTTTCAGGTAACAGAAGGGCCAGTACCCCTGAGAAAACTGTCAGACTTCCCATCAGAATGTAAGGCAAAAACTTGTCATGAGATCCTGTGAAACAGAACCAGATCCTGAAATCAACACACCTACGGGTACACTTCATAAGAAAACTATTATTATTTTTAAGATCACTTTATTGGTCATATACAATTTGTTGTATTTGGAATTTGTCTTTTCGTATACCCCAACTTGCTCTCCATGAGACACACAGACAGGGAGAGAATCTGGGGGTCAGAGCACAGGGTCAGCCATTTATATGGCACCCACAGTGTAGTTGGGGTTAAGGGCCTTGCTCAGGGGCCCAACAGAGTAGGATTCCTCTGCTGGCCGCAGGATATGAAACGGCAACCTTCCATCCACAGGCGCAGATCCTTAGCCACAAAGCCACCGCACCGTCCCCATAATGGAAAACTGTCTGTATTTTAACATATGAAGCTTTGTGAGAAGACAAAATTCATTACAACTAAGCTTGATCATATTTATTTTGTACTTTGCTACTGAATTGATGGTTAAAATTAGCACTTACTGAATTAGAGAATTAACTATATGTTTTTCATCCTTATTTTTCAGTTCCTGGTACTGAAAATGGTCAAAATAATTGTTTGTCAAACTTAAAATGACCACCTTTTTAATTCACTGAAAAAAACACACTGATAAAGTAAGAAAGTGCTGTACAGCATGAATACAATGTTTAGTTCAGATTGGAACAACGACTGTATTAGCTTTGCTGCAAATAAATATACAGTATACAGTACAAATATCAAGATTATTCCCCAGCACAGGTTTTGTATCTTTTTTCTTGTGAAAGCTGTTAATAAGAAGGGTACACGGATTAAAGATTTACCCATGTAGGTGAAGTAGGGAGCAATGATGCTCCCTATTCTGGAAAACATGGAACAAGCTCCCACAGCCATGTTCCTCACCACTGTGGGGTACAGCTCGGCTGTGAACGCATAAACTATGGAAAATGCAGATGTCATTCCAAACTTCCCCAGCATCTCTAGAGCGATTGCTAAGGAAATTAAATCTGAGAAAATGAAAAAAAAATTAAATTACTTTAATGCCAAGGATTTTTTAAAAGTACCTAATTGATATTTTTTAGCATTCATTATTTGCTTAAATGAACAAATCAAAGCCTTTCCTTGCTCTTGGAAAGCTGGAGATTTATAGAGCCCTGCAAAAACTGCTGGACAGCAGCTCTTGACAAACAGTGTTGGGCATCAATGTCCTTTCTCAGGCTTTTATATGAAACTCTATTCAGAACAACTAATAAAATATTAATTGGTTAGTTTATGAACCAAAACTGGATGGATTTTTAAAAAAATCCACAAACAAATTTTCCTATATTCCAAATATGTTTTGGGATATGTCTAGGATTACCGTAACAGTGCCAATATTTGTGGCTTAAAGTCTTACTTTGTGGTATAAGGTGAATGAAAAGAAGCACTCCTCCTCCTAAGGAAAGTGTGAAGAAAAGGCATAATCGCCTAGAACAGAACCGGAGGAGCAGCCAAGCAGCAGAATATGCTGGGACTTCAATGGCCGCAGAGAAAAAGCAGTTGAGATAGGGGTTTCCATGCAAGTTGGAAGTGTTCAGTGATAAGGCAAAGTATCCCATAGATAGTATCATCCTGAAAAGAAGAAGGCAGGGGTATTTTTAGGGTTGGAGTACACAGTTTGCAAATTTTAGTACAATGTCAGAAAAATCCCCACTTAGCTTTAACTTGATTAAAAACATTTTTCTGACGTATTGTAGTGAGCCTGACTGCAGGAACAGATGTTGAATTCTCCCCATGTGTATCAGGTGTTTCTGAAGAGATAAAGGCCTAAAGAGTACATAATGTTATGTGAAAATTATAATAAGTACAGTACCTGCATCCTGCTTCCTACATTGCTGAACTCTTCCCTAATAACAGGACTGTGTAAACAGTCTGACATATGGCTCCCTTTTCCTGCACAAACAGTTGTCCTGAATGCTTTCAGATTTTGAGGAGGCATTAACTGCTTATCTGATCTAATATCATCATGGACACACCAATTATTCAAAAGTAGAAAATTATGATGGATTGTACATAAATGCATTATACAGTATGATTCTGGTACTTACCACACAAGACACAACACAACAGTGACGCAGCAGATGTTACTGGTCCTCAGAAGATCAAAGACATTGTGAGGGCGAGCTTTTTCAGAAGTCGTTTCATTAGCCTACAGAACACATGTCGTAAAACAACTTAGACCTGTACTTTTGGTGTCCTACACATTGTTCTATGTCTTTAATAAAATGTCAAATATGTTGAGTGAACACAAAATCACAAAATTGTTTCCCCATCATTTCTAAACAACCTATTGTGTAAAAATCGTTTTGACAGCTGTTTGTATAAAACAGATATAAAAATATTTAATTAAATACAATGCATATCCAAGATAAATCTTTTCAATATTTTTTCTTTAGCGATATTGCAGGGGTTCAAATGAGGTTACTGCAAATGTTTGTCTTTTGCCATGAATGACAAAATAATTCATGACCCCACATGGTCTTAATGTTCAACTAAGAAGCACTTCAGAGTATTGGGAATATTCATGTGTGAGCCTCTTAGCATCTCTACTGGAGTTGAATGCCCCATTCATGCCTAACTATTTTATTATTATTACTACATTAATAAATCCATCCAGACATCCATTTACGGGTTTCATTCAACTCAGGGTTACAGTGGCCCAGAGCCTATCCTGGCAAGCATCTTGGACAGTATCTCAGTCCATCATTGTGTCGCACACAAAGATACATACACAGATGCACTCACACCCACACCAAGGCCATTTCTCCCAGAAGCCAATTAACCTGCCAGTATGTTACGACTGTGGGACTGTGGACAGAGGGAGGAAACTGGAACACCCGGAGGAAACCCATGTGAACACATGGAGAACATTATATGTCCCTCCACCCAGACAGCACCAGGTCTGGAATTGAACCCAGGGTTCCAGTGCAGAAAGACTAACCACTGTGTCACCTTTCTGCTCAACAATATAAATCTAAATATTTTGTATTCATATGGTTATATCTCCATCTACTCTATGTCAAAACAAATGCCTTTACATGGGAGACATGGGAGATCATTTATTGAAATGTTCTGACAACAAGTTGAAAAGAAGAAAAAAACATAAAAAAAAGTTTATGTAAGGAGCTGGGAGAAAACAAAATGAAACACCACACACACACACAAAATTATGCAGCCTTAACCCATCACCTTAAAAATTCAGACCAAGGCTTGAGAAATGCACTGATTTGCCAAACTAATTCTTCTAAAAAAAGTACTTCACCAACTCTCTCACATTAGACTCCAGCTACTCCACTCCCTAAGTCAGGCTACAGCCTCACTTGTGTTCAGATTAGCAATGACACTATCAAACATTGCTTTTTAAACCCGAAACAAGTAGTGTATAATGATGACAACGTAAGGAGAAACATTCATAACACTCTTGATCACTACTTGAACACTAATTGATACAGGGAACTGTTACAATATTGACTGTGTGTTTGTAACAGTACAGTTTTTGTGCTCATGTGAATTGTATGCCAGGGTTTGTGATGTTTGATGCTAATTGTATCCTTCCCTTTTCATCCACGCTGCCTCACCCGGTAGTGATGATTGTTTCAACAATGTGGGATTTAGGATTCAGACAAACTGTATGCAAACTTTACAAGTGTCTGTTTCATTTGTAATTTTCTGTGATAATCTCAGTGACTCTGTCACTCCAGATATAAAGGAGTCTTTTCGATTTCCTCTTTTCTGTTCAATTTCTTTTAAGCATTTGAAGAGAAAAAATGTAAAGATACATCACAGCTGTTGTGTGAGGAATGGTCTTGACTGCTTATACTTGCATTGAACATAATTACATGTAACAGCACTGATATGCAAAGTCTAAGAAATGAATCTCTAACAAACCAGCTTTGGTACTGTTCACTTAACTGGCCCAGAATACACCTGCCACAGAAGAAATTACAACTCTTAGAATCAAATATTTTATAGGACATGCTAGGTACTGTACTCTAATCACACGACAATCTCTTGTATACTACTCAGTGGTCAACAAGTGAAACACTATTTTCTGCAGATTTTTTTTTTGTCTCTTAATGGAATAAAAGGTGTGCTTCCTGAAATGGAAATTGGCCAAATTTTTTAAGCAATATTTTGTTCAGTGGAACAGAGATGAGGAAGGTCCCTACCTGAATAGGATGGAATATGGCATCTGGTGCAGTGATCCTGTTCATTCTGGCAGCCTTTCTCAGTATGGCTTCAGCTTCCTCCACTCTGCCCTGAGACAGCAGCCACCGTGGAGACTCAGGAATGAACCTGCATCACAGAAAGCTGTTAGAAATGATTAACCCCATCTACTTAACGGTAAGGTTAGAATATTACATAATGAGCACAAAAATTTGAAACCACAAAAGCTAGATAAACTATACAGTGATGGGTTGCTGCCATATCAACAGTTATATGTTAGCATTGGATTTTTTCAGCAATTTGAAGGAAAACAAATTAAAAATAATACATTATAAAAATGAAAAGAATCGTTAAGTGTAAAACAATGAAACATCTGTGACTGATGTGTGCAAATCATTGTGGAGATGAAGCATGCAAAGTAAAGGTTTGAATGACCTTACATTTTAAGGAAATAGATTCCTGGTTAATAGAGCAATTAACATCTGTAATCAAATAAATACTGTTTGGATTTGCTAAAACAGGATTAGAAAGTAAATGAAACCCATATATTATAGACCTACCACCACAGAGGAATGTAGAGTAGCCCAGGCAAAGTTAAGGCCAACAGCAGCATCCTCCAGCCTCTTATAAAAAATGCCAACAAAGGCAATGCCATGTATCCAAATGCAAAGAAAACGCACACTCCCAGAGTGGAATAAATAATACGAATGGATTTGCTTAATATCTCTGTTCCTGTTGACAGACAATACATTTTCTTTAACACTTAAAACATATTTGAACCAATTTGAATATAGTATGTCTAAATATGTTTGATCACATGATAATGACTGTGAAATTAGTATATTTTAATTCAGCACCAACCTACTTTGCTTATAGACAATTAAAAGTATAATTAAGATATTAATGATTTAAAGGCCATTCTCTCACTAATTGTAGTTTTCAGATTTAAACTATAGTCCAGTACAAGTACGAGAATAGGTCTACAGTACCAAACACAGCTGTTTCTCAGATGCCACAGTTGGAAATACAAATTGCAATACTGCTCTGTTCCTTTAACACAAGATTGGTAGAGAAATTCAGAACTGTTGCGGTCAAAACAGAAGCAGGTGGAATGATTGCAGTAATTGAGCTGCGGGTTTCAAAATGGGAGGGAGATCAGCTGCATACCCAGTACAAATGCTGCCACATAGTTGGAGATGTGTCCCATCCCCACAATGAAAAACAACAAGCAGAACACAACCCATGATGGAGAGAAGACCAGGATAAGGCTGGAAAGAGTCTGAACTCCCATTGTAGCAAACAGAATTAGTTTCCTTCCAAACCTACAAAATAAGAAATAATAACTTAATACTCACAGTTAAAAAGATGATTCAGGGCCAAGGATAAATGCAATTTCATTTGTGAAGTGAAACAAAATGCACAAGGTAAGCAGTCATTGAAGTAGAAAACAATCATTCAAATCAATTGTACGCTTGTTCTGAAACATTAAATTGCACTATACAGTTCATGTGAAAGCACAAACAGTGCCAATAGTCATATCACCCTGCAACTCACAGCTGGCAGCTGATTGAAGCTAAGCATGTAGGAGCCTGGTCAGTACCTGGATGGGAAACCTCCCAAAAAAAAAAACAAGTTTTCTGCTGGAAGAGGTGTTAGTGGGGCCAGTAGGGGATGCTCACCCTGTGGTCCGTGTGGGTCCTAATGCTCCAGTATAGTGACAGGGACACTATATTGTAAAAGGGCAATATGCTTCAGATGAGATGTAAAACCAAGGTCCTGACTGTCTGTGGTCATTAAAAATCCCACATTGTGTTTTAAAAAGAGTAGGGGTACTACCCTGGTGTTCTGGCCAAATTTCCCACTGGCCTTTTACAAATCATGGCCTCCTAATAATCCCCATTTATGAATTGGCCTCATCACTCCATTGCTCTCCCCACTGACAGCTGGTGTGTGGTGAGCATACTGTGTACACTATGGCTGCTGTTGCATCATCCAGGTGGGGCTGCACATTGGTGTTGATGGAGGGGAGTCCCATTACCTGTTAAGCGCTTTGAGTGGAGTGTCCAGAAAAGTGGTATATACAGTAAGTCTAAGCAAATATTATTATTGAAGTACAAATGTAAAATGTACTGCTATGACATTAAACATATATTGCATTTTCAGATAAAACTTATAAATATAAAACAACATTACAAATTACATAATTGGTTACAAAGACAACCATTTTTGGATTTATAAGGACTATACTGTACCATCTGCTAAAGAAAAGAAGCTGAACCAAGTGCAGGGCTGGGTGAGATCAGAATTGCTGGCTGCCTTGGAGCTGCAGGAGAGTACTGAATTTCAAACAACCGACAAATTAGAGATACCAAATAAACGTGACAGTTTACTGAACAGAACAGTGTTCAAGTATTACCTGTCAGACAGCTGCCCAGACACAAATGTTCCAGTTAGTACGCCAAAGAATAAGATGGAGGATGTCAGAGGGCCTTTCCATTCATTTTCACAGACAAGGTCCCACTGCAAAGCCAATATTTAGTTACTGTATTATAAGATATTTTACTTACTGGTATCTGAAAAAAACTGGTAATGGTAATATCCATAACATTTCTCTTACATTTCCTGCATTTTCACAGTTCTAATAATACCTTTATAAATTTTAAAAGACTATTTTTATCAATTTTAAGAGACTAATTTGTTGCTTAAAGAAAAACATACATGATTTCTAGAATTTTTTAACCATTTCAAATATAAAAAAAAAAACATGAAAAACAACGAAGTAAGCAAGATTTTTTTTTGCACAGAGTTATTCGAAGAACGTACTCAACCATGCTGTTAAAGTTGATACCCTGGCTTCTTTCAAGAAACAGCCAAATGAGATCCTGGAATATTGTAGCTACTAGCAACCAAATGAACTTCAAGGACCTGTAATCTTTCTTATGCTCTTATAAAAAGCACCTTTTCTATAAGTAGCTTAAGTTAAGAAATTAAAGAATATTAACAAAATTAAACACTAACTTGTTCTGTGTACCATTTTACATGGGTGGCATTATTTTCTGTATCACTGTAAGTTTCATGGAAATGGTTGACAGAAATAAATTACTGATCCAGAATGGGGAATGTTAAAGGGCCATAGAGTAAGTTGAAACCTTGCAAAAATATACACACAAAAAAAAACTAAAAAAGGCAACAGCATGTAGTTTTGTGAGCACAGTGCACAAATGATACAGAGGCTGCACAATGCAACCTGATGCAATGCAACTCTTAGTAGCACTTTCTTAATCAGAGACACGTGTTAACCATGCATTATCTATGTATAAACGATACAGTCACACTTAACAGAATTAGGAAAAATTAAATTTAAAGACTGGGTAGTCCACCTTTTGTCAGAAATACCTTCATCAGCACAGCATGTATTAGTCATTTAAACATGTGTTTCCTACTCTGATTTATTACTACAATTTATCTTATGCAGTGCAGTAATGATTTAATTACTGACATAAGAAATCTTTTTGTTTTTTTCTTAGATGGAAAAAGTCATGGTTGCCTAACATTAACCTTAGATACAACAGCTGCAGTGCCTTGCAAAAGTAACAAATCCTACATTTAAATTTAGTTATCTGTGAAAAGAATATTTTCAAACATGAAACAATGTCACATTAAAATGTTAATTTGGAGTTTCAGTGCTTTGAAATAAAAATACCACAGAGAACAGGGCCAAGGATACATTTGTAGGATTTGTAATTCAGTATAAGGAGAGAATTGGTCAAGGGTCTGAATACTTTTGCAAAGCACTATACTGTATACTGTATACAGTTTCCTCCGACAAGACACCTTGTTTATAGATGCTGTATAATATCTATTTCCAGAGACATATTCCATATTGTAGAGAAAGGCTGTACACTCATTTACACACAGGCGAAAACAGCATGTGGATGTTTCAGTGACACATGCTGATAAAAGAGTTTCACAATAAATGGAGGAGAGGCTGAGCAGAGTTTATGAAATGTGGACACGTTTGTGCTCCATGGTGCTGTAAAGACGTTACTGGCTAACAGAGGGAAAGAGTTAAGTTTCAGTCAATATAGATGTATTTTCTTCTTCCTTTTTCGTTTCTCTCTTTTACTGACTACATTTAGCAATTCGTCAATGACAGGATGGAAACGTCATTTTACCCTTTGCTACATTTAATCTTTTTTGTTTTTATCTTCTCATTACAATATCGATACCCAATGTTTTTCCTATTTTCCAAACAAAGAATAATTAATCAATTTTTACTGTTGCGATTTTATATGAAGTCTTTTTAGTTTTTTTTAAACATCACAGCATTGCATAAAATGTTTAATATTTTATACATTATTTTACAAGAAATAAATCACTCGTTTAAGATTTATGATTGACTTATTTTGGACATAAAAGGATAAAGTAATATTTATTCCAGAGCTAATTTATTCCGTGTGTGAATGAACACCACTCTTGTGCTACATTATATTGTAGCAAAAACCGCCACTAAACGAGATTAATTATTGTAAATCTCCTGCTGGTCTGCTTAAGAAGTAAACGTAAGTATATTAAGAAGGTGACCTTGGCCGATCACATTAGTATAACAAATTGTGTTTCTCTAATCAAATACTTATTTATAATGATGAAATATCATGGATAATGAGTAACAAACGTTTTAATGTATTCTTTCACAATACGTGAGCACCAGTGATGCTCGTTGCATGTAATAATAACCAAAAAGGAAAAGTGCGCAATACGGAGCCAAATGCGTGTTGCATTTCTCCCATCATGCTTAGCTAAACACCTCCTAGTTTACTATTTTAGCATAAACATCCACAGTTGTATTAGTGTAACATTTAAATCAAAAGGGAAATCCAAAAGGCTATGAACTTAACTTCACCGACCTCGGTTACAATGGTGGATGTGTATGTATCTCGGTTATACTCCCAGCCATCCTTACAGCTCTCTTGTTGTATTTCCGTAACATGGACATCAACACCCGGTATCAACTTCTGGTCGGAAAAATTTTTTATGACGTCCAGTTTATACCTCCGGCATTTACTGTACTGTGTTTCCCCGTTGATCTTTTCCACGGGAATACTGACGTTTCTCCATTCAGCGCTAATGTTGGCACTTTGGGGTATCAGGCACGTATGAGCCGGGGTGTCCCCCACAAACACAATGGAGAGACCCGTAAAACCGTTGGGAATTATGCTGAGGCTCAAGAGAAAAAAAATTACACGTTGAAAAGGTCCCCATTCTCCTAGGAATGCTGTTATTTCATCATAGTCTCTCATATTGCCATCGGCAAAAACTCACTAAATAATTCTTAAGAAAGGACGAACCAAACTGCACCAAACATTTTAGTTTTTAGTCTTTCCGTGCATCGTGCGATCGGAGTAGTGAACTGAACTGACACATCATAGCTTCCGAGTTATACAGTACATTCGCCTATAGGCAGTGCTGCAGATTTCGTATTTCATAGATACGACTTATCATTAACGTTTTAATGAGTGTTGTGTTATTTGACCTATCCGGTTCTATCGATCGGGATTTATTGATTGGGTTACAAAGTTGCTAGTTCGGGGGACTCCTGATTCAGTGCCAGTGTTGGAGTTCATTGAGAATTATATTTACTGTGACGCAAGTTGGAAATAGCTTATACAGTGTTTATTTCATAAACGGTTTTAACGTTTGTTTCTGTGTGAGGTTTTGGAAAATAATGTTCGCGATGAATACACGTGTTAGCAAATGTCCTGTGTTATTGTTGTTTTATTTAAAATATTTTTGAGTTATATATGCAAAAAAGCTTAGGAAACCTGTGAGGAATTGGAATATAAATTATTATTTTTATTTGATATCCTTTTCCAGAAAATGTTAAATAGTCCCAACTATTTTAGCTCTTGACTTTATTTGCTGCTTGCATACATTACTTACAGGTTAAACTGCTGACAGCATCCGGCTACTCAGTAAAAATGTGACGTTTGAGATAAAATAAACATTATCTGTCTTTATAATAATTATGAAGAGGTTGCTTTTTTTTAGCTTGCTAAAATGGTGGATTGTATATCAGGATTTTCTGATGTTGATTGGGATCGTTTTAATGTGAGTCCTTTCGAAATGTAAAATGTATTCTTAAGGATATTTAAGGACTTTAATACCACAGTACTTCCTCTTGGTGGAAAATTAACATAATTGGCAAATGAGTTAAAATTCAGTCATACCCAGTTTTCAGATTTACTGCAATACGATTTAACAGAATGAGCTGTGAGAATTTTAAAGGATTGTAAAAGCAGTACATTTTATGTTATTTGTTGTTCTATGCATCTGTTATAGATTTCATCTGGTGTGTAAATGTTTAACCTGTGGCATGCATTTACACGAACAAGGCTGCAGAGTACGACATGCCTCAGTGATTAGGCAGATCTTTCAAAGGATGAGCCACTCCAGTAGTTTGTTAGCGATGATACTAGCCTATAGCTTCCACTACCACTTGCTGGTTGTACATATTTTGACAGAACTCTGACAATGGCTTCACCAGGCAATTTGGCCATTCTTCATCACCTTTTAAAAAAAAAGGTTAATAAAATATTTTTAAGATACTGGTTGCAGGAAGTCCAGAGGATTCCTGACAGCTAATCATTGCCTCCTTCAGCTCATGCATGTCATTCTGCTTGTCATGTGGTCCATTCAAGTTTGCAATAGTTCCAGGTTCTACCTCTGAATTCACAGCATCAGCAGTGGCCCACAGAATTCACGAGAGAGATCATGTGAATGGAGCGACACCTGGTGGCTGATAGAACTTTTACAAATGGAGGTCTTTTCAAGATCAGTTAAATATCCCTGTCAATGTAAAGAGGTAAAAAAATGCAAGAGTTACTTTTTTACTCACAGCCTAGACAACCCTGGCCATCTAATCCTTAATGTGCCCCAGCAATCTATGAATTGTTCTTTGCCACTTAGAGAATCCTGGTCACTGGTGACCTGTAAAAATATTCAGTTTATCTTCTATCAATGCTTAACACTTAACAAATGTAAACAATTATCTTCTAAAGTTAGTAGTTTACAAGTTGAGTCAATAATTTACAAGCTACTTCATGAAGGACATAATACATTTATACATACAGTACATAAAGCTATATGTCTAGAAGTAATCCAGGTCTTGAACACAGAACATTATGGTTTTCTGGTGTATTTTTAAAATATATTTAAATCAACATACTGTATTAAGTGGTCTTCTAAAATACTACATTTGGTCATGTGTAGGTAATAAATTTAGTGGCAACAGTAAAGAAAGAAAAAGTGCACACTGACCTGTTTCTAATTATGAAACACGTCTTGTTACTCAGACTATCAAATCCTTTGACACAATTGTGCAAATAAAAAAAAATTGTAATATGTTTTGAAGTTAAAAGTCCCAAAAATTGATTCTTTGAGCTGTTTGGTTTAATAAAAAGATAAATTCAGTTTACAACTTAGAATCTAAGGTAAAAAATTGGTAGACACAAAGTGTTGACTGTTTCTGTGATCTCTTACCCATGATGACATGGAGAAGAGACTCTGCTTTTCACAGGCTGCAAATTTGCCAGTCTTCAAGCTTTTTTTCACATTGTGCCAAATCCTGGTGTTATGCGGGTGGTTTCAGAAGTACCCGGAAAAATGGTTATAAGTTGAGGGAAAACCTGCAAAGACCTGCAACATTTGCTCAGTGCAGATGGGCCTGTAGTCCTTTTTTAGGAGCTATTAAAACAAATTAATCATCATCCTCCCTCTCACACCAGATAAGCGATTACAAAATATGGCCTATAACATTTTTTACCATGTCTAGAGCAATAAAAAGGTTATTTGATTTGCAATCACATTTCTGCATTAAAAAAAAAACAACTTGGGAGAGTGTAAAAAATTAACTTTAGAGCTTCAAATATGGCGCTTAGTGCAAAGAGTAAGACTTTGCTTCTAAAGAATCTGACAGATGCAACAATGACAGAAAGTAGAACTTGTTTAATTAGACTGCTAGTTAGTCTCAGCCTTTTCATTTACTAAGGACGAAGTGAGAATGCCTGGAATACAAAGGATGAGAGATTATGATGAAATTACATCTTTCCTCGGAGTATGGGGGCCTTTCCAACAGATGGTTTTCTTTTCTCTGGCTGCCAGCATTCTTCCTAATGGATTTACTGGTCTTTACATTGTCTTTGTGGGTGACAGCCCACCCCATGAATGTTTGATACCTGAAGAGGCCAATATAAGTGAAGTGTGGAAAAATGTGGCCATCCCTATAGTGAATGTGGATGGAAAACAGCAACACAGTAAGTGTACAAGATACAGACTGGAGGAGATCAAAAATTTTTCTGATTTAAACTATACACCAGGCTTTGAAGTAAATGTAAGTGACATAGAACAGGAGAGCTGTAAGGACGGTTGGAAATACAGCAATGAGACATACGAGTCCACTATTATAACAGAGGTAAGTGTCAATTCTGATAATGCATTCTCTGTTGCTGTTTTCAGACAAGAATGGCAGTTTTCAGTCAGCAGTGTCTGCATCTTTAAGTGTGTATATTTGCAGTTTTATTTGCCAAAATGTTTTTAAAAAGCCCTTTTAATGCTCAGAAAATACTGACTTTAATGTTTAACAATGGCCATTAGTGTTACCTAATAAGTACAGTGCATTCCTGGTACTAGACTATTCAGCATAAAAAAGAATCAAAACTTTTGATAAGGATACATTTACCATCAGCAATGTGAACAAACAGTACAAACTAAGCAACAGAGATGTTGTATGTACTGTATAAAGTATAACCTTTAGACTGTTGTTAAGAATGAAGACCTATGGTCTGTTAATTATTCTTTTTGTAATGCTTGAAAGAATGTCTTATATTATGTCTATATTAATCATTATCAGAATCATTGACTGGATTGTGTTTTTTATTTTTTGTTTTTTATTTTGTCCTGTATCATAAAACATTTTTTGCAGAGCTCCTTGCAATAGGTAGATTGTCCATATTTCTTCATTTACAGCATTAGTCTTTCTTCTAGATTTTTTGGTAGAACTGTCTATGAGTTCATTTATTGATGAAGCAGCAGTAAATGAATTAATTTGCTGTAAATTACATTTACATTATTAATTACAAATGCAATGGCATAATGGTTAGTGTTAAAATAGAACCTTTTAAGGACATATTAACTTGGATATTAATTTTAAACAACCATTCCCAATAAATAAAATCACCCAAGAAGAAAATGAATTTAGGAATGTTTATTGAGGAGTGGGGTTCTGTGTAAGATACTGTATTTTGGCTGAACCCACCAGACTGTAGGATGAGGAACTAAGGGTGATCTGCAAATGTGGAGATGGGGTGGAGGAGAGATGCAGAAAGAGAAATGTGAGGAAGAGAGGAACTACAGTATTATGGTATTTATCGTTTTTCAGGAAGTGGATACAAGGAGAATTATGAGTTAGCGTAGCAGAGGTGAAGGAGACCTTCACTGTTCTCATCCGTCCCAAACTTTTGTTACAAACTCCACAAGCAGGTGCACTATGTAACACTATTATTGTTCGGAAGATCACTGGGCTTTCACCTTTATAACACAGTTCTATTTTTATGGCATTTTTCTCTATGTACTTGCAATTTATAACTGTAAGGTAAGCTATAAATTAAGATTGTGATAAAGACAAAAATATAATAAAAATAAGTATTTTACTGAAAAAACTATAAATGTCCTTTGAAGTCTTTTATTGTTGAAAGAGTTTTAAATGCATTAACCTTTGGCTCGTCTTCATTTCAGGCAATGAATAACTGATGACTCAGCCAATCATTGACAACAGTTAGAAAGTGATGGGTTAGAGCAAACACTTGTATACACTCAAAATTGTTTTATGGCAGTAGCTGTAGTTGAGAAAATGTAAACTTTGTTTTAGCAAGTTGTTTGTCTTAATAGGACAAGACATTAACTAAACATGATAAAATTCACAGAGTAATAAACATGCTGTTGTGCTATTTAATAAATTGGTTTTGGTAACGCACTGCTATTTTACTTTGTTCTGTCGAATACAAATGCAAATAGAAAAAAGATCTGTGCGGTAATACATTTATATGTTACAGTGGGACATTGTTTGTGAAAATGAGTGGAAGGTACCTTTGACATCATCAGTATTATTCCTGGGTGTGTTGGTTGGAACCTTTGTCTCTGGACAACTGTCTGACAGGTACTGTATACAGTATTTATGAGCACAGATCCTACTGAACTGTTTTGCATGTACAGTATAAAGACCCATAGTGTACATCGATAGTATAGCATAGTCTAAGTCTGCTTCGAAACAGAATCTTAATTTTCAAACTAACTGCAGTCTTTGAAGGTTCATCCTCATACAGTATCCTGTATGAGCTATCTCCTCAGTCTCTCTGAAGTGTATTTCAATTCATCTTCCAGTGACCAAGATAAAAATAACTTAAAGTTATTTTACCTCAGCTGCACTATGAAATAAAGTTTTGGTATTTTTCCAATGAGTACATATTTCCTTGCATGATTACTTTTGGAAATTGCATACCTGGACATTGCAATTACAGGTGCAAACATTGGTCACATTGTATAAATGTAACACTCTTTGGTGTTTGTGAACTGTACTGTAGCTATGAAATTACTCTTATTTACAGCCTTTTCATGTGTTTACTGTATATGTAACACTGTAACACATTGTAACACTGCCACAGGAACATGCAAGCCACCCAACTTGAATTATTAGTTCCTACTTTTTTCTGTTTTCCTATTTTATTTTTATTTGCAGGTTTGGGAGGAAGCCGGTTCTTTTTGGAATGATGGCGATTCAGACGTTTTTCACCTTTATCCAGATTTTCTCACCCAGCTGGGAGGTGTTCTGCGTGATGTATTTCTTTGTAGGCTTTGGTGGTTTCTCCAACTATGTGGTTGCATTTGTACTAGGTAAACCTACACAAGACCACATGAAATATAGATTTTGGGAATATTTCTATATTTTACAGTTATATACAGTATTATACATTCTGCGACAAAGAGATTAGATTATTTCATAGTTAATCTTTATATCGATGCAACTTCAGTCAGTGAATCTTTACTTGGCTTTGGTAGGCAATATACAGTATTTTAACAATGCAATAAATTGAAGTCTAATGTCTAATGTAATTTTCAAATAACCACAACATACTGTACAGGCCAATGGCCTACAAAAATTATTGAAAGAATGGGCATTTTTTTACTCATTTTATTGACTCTTGCTATGAAAATTGAAAATTGGCCTGCCCTGTCCATGATTTTCTTTTGTACTCTGACAGGATCAGAAATTTTGAGCAAGTCCATTCGTGTTGTATTTTGCTCCTTGGGGGTCTTTTTTGGCTCAGCCGTTGGGTACATGCTGATGCCTGTGGCAGCATACTTTCTGCGGGGCTGGAGGGCTCTGCTGGTGACCATGGCTGCCTCTGGAATCCTCTATGTCCCACTGTGGTGGTGAGTGTGAAGAGACAATAGAGGCAGAAAATAGAGGGGAGTCACTTAACTGGACATTTACCTTTTTGAGGGATTGAAGTTTAGCCCACTTAGAGAGTCTAAGATAAATCTCTCCTTTAAATAAATGATACACTTTTCTAATCCTGCCCCCACTCTACTTAAGATGAAACAATTGTGGGTAAAGGATGGATGGGTGAATTGTTTTCAGTACTCATGTCATAATAATTCATAAATTCCCTGATGGTCTACTGGTGCTACGACCCAGTCTTCAGCTTTCAAATCAATATTGAAATAAACTAAATAGGTTTTTTTTTAAAATAAAGTTGTATTTTTAATATCTAATTCTAAAAAAATCTACACATAAAAAATCTAAATTTGAATAAATTCCTGAATAAAGTTGGAAAAATGGCAACAACCTTTACTCATCCAATCCTTCCTCACTTTCTGCTTCCGGTGTTTATTTACCATCTTTAGGGAGCCTTCCTTCTAGGCCTTTAGTGTGATACCATAATGCAGGATAACAAGTAGTGTGAAGTTATATATCATATAGTCTCATCCTTGCTATCCTAGTCTGTGTTCTAACATGAGTGTGTGACACAGGTTCATTCCTGAGTCTCCACGGTGGTTGTTGTCTCAGGGCAGAGTGGAGGAGGCGGAGGCCATACTGAGAGAAGCAGCCAAAAAGAACAGAATCACCCCCCCTGACATCATATTCAGCCCCACAGAGGTAATTGTAGCTGTGTGTGTCTTGCACTATCAAGTATTTGATTCTTTTAACTGCAATAAGAGAATAAACAATTCATCATGTCCTAGATTAGCCATAGCTCTTTCTCTGTTTGCTTTGGCAAAAGAAGCAGGATTTAAATAATTTAATACAAATTATATGTGTTATTGAATAGCTAAATAAACCCCATCACTGCATCTTGTATTCAGCTCCACAGTGTGTTAGTGTATTACTTACTATCATCAGGTCATGTGAATGAAGCCTTCAGGCCTTGCAAAAAGACAAACAAGACCTCATTTCACAGGAATGTGCAGTTCAGGTCTTTTAAGGACACACAATTTTCCAGTAGTTCTTTTCTTTTCCAAATCCTCCATTGATTGTGCTTATGTGACACATCTTTCAGGATATTTTTGTCTTGGGAGGTCTGTGCCTTAAAACAAAGTGAGGGATTTCCAAAGGAAATAGCATGAATGCCTTGCAGGCAGCTCAACAAACATTCAAACAAGATCTTTGATAAGAAACCATTTAAAGTGAGAGGAACTGTAATTTCCTGGACATTTTCTGGACAGTCCAGTTTTTATCACCACTTTACTGTGATAAAACAGTTTGTTTATTCCATTATAATAAGGACAAATTTGTACTGCAGTACTATTTTAATATATTTGTTCTTCTGATTATTATTTTTTTCTAGGTAGAACATGCAGTTGCTAAAAAAGAGCATACACACACCATTCTAGACATTTTAAGGAGCTGCAATATTCTCTTAATCACCATTATATCTGCACTTTTGTGGTGAGTGTCATTTGTATCAACAGAAATCACAAAAAAGCCAAGTGGAGAAAGTTATCCTGTGTTCCAGGTTATAATGCATTCATGTGAAAATGATCTTGGTGACAAATATGCTATTTCCACAAGGACTTCAGTGGTGTAAGTCAGTAGGTGTCAGATAACCCCTCAAATTTATTAAAATACTGATACATACAGTGGTATGTATTCAGGAAGGAAACATTGTTGGTCTAGTTGGTGTGATTAATCCTTTTGAAATGGAGCTGTCAGTGCTCACCAACTGGCATCTTTCACAGACATGCACTCCAGTGACAGTGTTGTATTGTTAGTTTAAGTTTTTCATTCGCAATTACTTCATCAGATCAATTATTTTATGTAACTTTAATGTAAAATAATTTACTTAGTCTGGATTGAAAACATTTCTAGCAGAACTTAAAATACAAATGGCTAAATTTATGACACTGGGCAATTTGACCATAATCAAATAACATTAGTTATTAATAGTATTTGTCTATTGTTATTGGTGGCATGGAGGTGCAGCAGTTATTGTTGCTGCCTCACAATGCTGAGGTCCCTGGGTTCAAGTCTGGACCTGCGGTCCTATCTGTGTGGAGCTTGTATGTTCTCCTCTTGTTCACATGGGATTCCTCTGGCTGCTCCGGGTTCTTTCCACAGTCTAAAGACATACTGGTAGGTGTCATGGATGTTGGAAGGGACAAACCGTGGAGAGGCAGGATAGCGGAAAAAGACCCATATGCATAGCGGCGGAACAGGGGATTAGCCCGGGCTCAGCAGTTCAGGAGTCGAATAGAAACCAGTGCCCTCAGGCAGCGGACGTGGGGTGACAAGGTACTAGGGGGGTCTCAGGACATCCAAACGTCAATGCTGAGCCAAGGGGAATGAGTGACCTGGAAATATATAGCCTCAGAGAGAAGGACAGCAAAGCACACAGGGACAGGACAGAGTAGGAGCGCCCTCTGGCTGCAGAGGGCGTGACAGTAGGCTAATTGGCTTCTGTGAAGATTGTCTGTGGTGTGCTTGGGAGTGTGTCTGTGTCTGTGTCCTGCGATGGACAGGCATCCTGTCCAGGGTGTACCAGGTGTTTCAGCCATTGCTTGCCGGGATAGGCTCCAGCTCCCCCGCAACCCAGAAGAAGATAAAACGGTTAGAAAATAGATAGATGAATGGACATTCATGTTATACCTTGTTATTCACTACTGCCTTCTCTGTATTCATCTGTTTCCCATTCAAAGAGTTGTAATTGTTTCGAACAGACTTCCCAGCTAGGTTGCTGAAGTGCAGATTTTGAGCTCTTTCAAGAAAATGGTACATTAAATTTTAGATCCACTTAGCTACAAACCTGCCAAATGTGCAAGTAGTTGCAAGTAAGTCACATGACCACTTCTGGTTTTCAGTCTTCTTATTTTTTATGTTCTTACTTTGCCTGAAGGATAATAATAACCATGGCTTACTATGCGCTGACTTTGAACACTGCCAACTTGCACGGGAATCCCTACCTCAACTGTTTTCTCTCTGGCATTGTGGAAGTGCCCGCATACATCGCAGCCCTGCTACTGCTGAAATATGTCCCCAGGCGCTACTGCCAATCTTCCACTCTCTTTCTTGGGGGAGCTGTTACTCTCTTCATCCAAATGGTTCCTGCAGGTAAGACGTACCACATAGGAAACCTGGAGGAAATTACCTTGAGAGAGCTTGTACTGAATCTTTGGTTCATACACACAATATGACCAAAATATTGCACAAATACTACCAAAGAACAATAACTTTTTTTTTAATTTTGCTATATCAAAGATGAAAGAAATTGTAGTTTTCTGACTCTTTGAATGTTAATAACTTGAGAAAAATTACTTTGTACAACACTGCATTTGTGCTACCTTCTCACAAGTTTCCCATAGCTGTAAGATCTGTATAATTTCAACTATACTTTCACTGCAATCTTTTATTTAAATTCAAATAACTCATCATGGTGACGGTCCTGCTTCTTACAATTAGATCTACATGCCCTGGCGATTTCTCTGGAAATGGTGGGAAAATTTGGCATCACGTCTGCTTTCTGTGTGGTTTACGCCTTCACTGCCGAGCTGTACCCCACCGTCGTGAGGAACATATCAATGGGAACCTGCTCCATGGCAGCTCGAATTGGCAACATTATCTCTCCCTATGTTATCTACCTGGGTAAGACAAGTTGCAAGCCTCTGTCTCAGCATTCAGGGAAGACCAAACAAACTGGTGATGAGACATCAAAAAGCAAAAAGCGGCTTCATACAGGCCTCCCAGTTGGTGATCCTTGGTTCATGTGCTCCAGCAATGCACTTTTTATATACAGTTTGTAGCAGTGTAGGAGTGGGAGGAGCCAGTGTGAGATTAGCAGAAAACAGAAAAACAAATCAAATAGAAAAAACTTATCACTGTATAAAGTGGCACCAGGCTGGATTTTCCCTGTCTAACGGGATCCTGGGAAAAAGAACCTGCTTGGCGGCTGGGACCAGACTGGACTTCCCCCTATTTAAGGAGCGCCAAGTCTAAAATAAAACTCAACTTGTGGAAAAAGGTCACCCTGTCCCGGTGAACTTGCAAAACAGACAGGCTGAAAAGAAAAGACAATGGCCTTAAGCTCGGTCCCAGCCCCCCTCCTGGACTGTCGCTGGAATATTCCTGCTCCTCCCTCCGGGGAAGTGTTCAGTATGTCTTTAAAGAGCCCTCACAGCTGTGGCTCGCCCTTGATCAGTGGCTACTAAAGTAACGTGATGCCACACTGAATGCGCCTCCCCCCCTGCAGCGTAGTGCAACAAGTTATTTAAGTAGAGGCTAAGGTCCTGGACATAAGTTAATAACGGCAACCTTCAACATTTTTATGTTTTTGTTCATTTTCTACTCATGTTGTACAGCAATTCTGTCCACTTTTGTTTTGACAGGCAACTACGACAAGTTTTTGCCTTACATTCTTATTGGCAGTCTAGCCATTTTTTCCGGACTGCTGTCCTTTGCTTTGCCTGAAAGTTTTAATATGCCCCTCCCCGAGACCATCGACCAGATGCAAAGGCTCAGAGGGTGAGGCCTCTTCATGTTTACATCTGCAGTTGAGCTTAAGCAAACAAGTCCTTGCCTGTTTGTTCGAACATTTATCTTTATTAAATCTGTTTTTTTCTCTGTTCACAGAATGAAAGCTAAGAATAAAACACACTCTGGTAACCTTAAGAATCTAACCGAGGCTGAAATCAACATTACTGTCATTTGCAAGGAAGACAAACTGTAATGCAGTCTCCTCTTCACAAACAGAAGTCTACTTTCTAAGAAGAAACATTGCCCCTAACCCAGGTGTGGCATTAGGATGACCAAAATCACAGGCCAAAGAGCTCAAGACTGGATATTGTGGATCCATCTACACAATATTCCAGCATAATTACAGCATTGGAAAGACAGGAGAGATAGTTAGCAAGCAGAAACAAAAATAATTTTCTGAAGGAATAAGATAGCTCAATAGAATGCCTTCTTTAATTGTGGGTTTAAAAATGGCTTCAATATTTGTTCAGCAATTTTACACTAATATTTTATTAAATAAATGCCTGACATACTGTAACTGGGATTTTTATGTTAAAAAAAGATGTGTTTTGAGTGTGTATTAGAATGAAAAAATGGTCATCTTTCAAAAGCAAGAAACATTATTTGTGGTAATACCATTATGAAATATCACCCAGAATAATTTACACGATCAATGAGAATATGACAAATTGATTCTTCAAAATAACCTAGGCGCCCTATTGTTCTGTGTATGTACTGTAAGTATACAATAGGTACCACTCTAGCAATTGTAAAGCACCCCTCAGTTTCCCTGTTTGCATATTTACATCATATGTCTCTATATTCTCATATTATGGATAGAAATATTATGAATATTTAAATAAATGAATAATTAGACCTGTGTGGCCTGCCTCTGTAATTACAGAATGGGGGTGGTGGTTTGTTTTTCATGTAACCTGATGGCTAGAGACAGCCTGTGTAAACTTCTTGGGAAACCATCAATATGCTGTCACTGATGTGTAAAATAAATTAAAATATCCAAGCAAGATATTTTTCTTTGGGAAAAAAAATAAAACTGATCAGACTGAGAAATGATAAGTAAGAAAAAACATTTTGGTACAGACAAAAATAAAAGATGTGCTTTCAATTTAGGTTTCAGCAAGAAAGCTTTGAAAGAAAACCTTCCTAACAAAGAGGGAGTTACAGGGAATTTTCAAGCAAAACAATAATACAGCTGAAGGGGAATTTCTCAAGTGTACAGCATCTGTCATACAGCAGTTACAAGCAGAAGTTAAAATGACAAAACACCCACATAAGCATTCAGTATCTTGGGATATATCTTACACCTCATTTTTATTGTTGCTTATTCTCTTACATAGCCATTTGTAATAAGTTTTTAGCATTCCACCAAACAAAAATCATTTCTCCACTCTATGCTTAAAGCAATATATTGAAGCATATACAGTATGAACCATCCCTGATGAACTATATCACTCTTAAAAGAAAATCCTGTCTTTCTGTGTAAGGAGAGTTACATGCTCTCTTAGTGTCATGTTTGATGTTTAAGCATGCCTAAAAACAAGATAAAAAAGAAAAAATGAAGACCTGAGACAAACTTTGAGACAGACAATTTTCTCAACAATCAAAACTCAGTGACTTTACATGTATTTAATATTTAATTCAGGTATTTATTAAATTGCCTCCCAGATTGAACTGGCCTCCGAGGTTGTGAGATGGGTCTTAGAGAGAGAGCAATGTTAATGGAAAAAACCCAGTGGAACGAGGCACAGCTGGTCGAAATGACAGTGAAACTCCAAATGATGGAATGGGGCTGTCAGGAAAGGAATTGTGTTGGAATTCAACATAATTAGCTGTTGCTCTGGCTAATTAATAAGAACAGGGTTTAACAGGGTTTAAGTCTCTGTTGAACATTCAGCCTCGAAGGATGTAGAGTGTGAACTCTAGAAGAGAGTTCTTCATTAGTAAAGGCTTGCACTGTAGTAATGTTTTAGGACTGTCACAGGCGCTAGACAGATGGATTATATAGTGAATGCTTTAAAATTGCTAGAGTGGTACCTATTGTATACAAATATGTCTCTTATTTGTTAATGGGTTCATGTTGTGTTAAATATATTATGCAATGTGTTAAGTGTTTTACTTGCCTGCACAGAAAATTTACCATCTGGGACAATAAAGTAAGTAAGTATTCTTTGCCCAGAAAATTAGTGTAGGGGACAGAGGAACAATGTCTAATATTCCTAGATTGGTAGTTCATTTGCTGGGCACAATGGGGTCGAAGTGTGCTGCTGAGGAACTAAGGAACTAAGGCTGACTGGAGGAGTAGAATACTGCCACAGGTGAGAGAGGAGAGGAATCAAGATACCCTGAGGTCAGCGTGTGCTATTCCTTGATTTTTACTACTGATAGAATGTCGATTTCTCTGTTTACACACCTTTTGTGTCTATGTCAGGGCTGCAAGAGAGATGTCCCTGACCAAACAGGACCAGCTGAGATAGCCAGAAGTTACTGGTTGTTAGTGGAGTTGGGGAGAAGATCTATTGAGTAATGTCCTGTGTGGGGTGTTGAAGGTGGAGAGTAAAGATCAAGTATGAGAAGCCGGGTGATGCAGAGTAAATGTGAATGCTCAAGTGCCTGGAAATTAATGATCATGAAGAGAATGTATGAGAAGACATGTCATGAGAGGAGAGTGAAAGATCGGTGGAAGAAAGACCATGCAGATTCCCCTGAGAGCAGAACAACAAGAGCTAGGATACCAGAGGAATCCACATTGACAGTGTCAGTCAGTGTGGTCACATGGCCATTGCAAACAAATTAAAAAATAATAATTCTTTGCACTTATATAGTGCTTTATCTCCAGTCACTCCAATCACAGCACTTTACAGTTCATGAGATCTCTGCTCCATCACCACCAATGTGCAACACCCACCTGGATAATATGATGGTACCCAGAGTGTGCCAGAATGCTCACCACACATTAGCTATCAGTGGGGAGGAGAACTTCGTAATTGAAGCCATTTCAAAGATGGGTATTATTAGGAGGCCATGATTGATAAAGGCCAGCTGGAAATTTGGCAGGACACTGGGGTACACCCCAATTTTATCGAGAAATGCCCTGGGATAGCTAAATTTCACACAGGGAAATCTATTCTAGGAGATGTGATTTTTATGGAAAAATGTAAGGATAAAGTTGAATGTAAGAAAATACTAGTGCATCATAAAACCTAGTTCATTTGATAATGATGTAAGTTAAAAGGCTGCAATGGACATTAAAGAACTTAAAGCTTACAGATGATTGAATAAAAAATCTATTCTGTAAGAAGTAACTTCAGGAAAATGCTTTCTATTCTGTTTTCAATGCTTTTCTACTTTACTCTGGTTCATGTTACACTGATTCTGAAATAAGGCTGTAAAGCTGTGTTCCCTATTCTCTTATGTGAAAGTACTTCATTAAGCATTAGAATTCACAACCACATTTCAATTAAAGAGATTGATTCACTTTAGGTTGTGTAGTGTGTCACGGACCACACAATTGTTAATTTCAAAGTGTTGCAAAAAGACTGTAAGCTTCTTTTTGACTCACACTTTTTTCCCACCCCCTGGTATGGTTTTAGGCAGAAATAAAAAGTGAAAGTAAAGAAAGCAGAGACAGAGCTAACATTGTGAATGGCTGGTGAATGGAACCTGCGAGAGAACATTTTAATCTATTTTAATGCTTTTACAATGGATTTATTTGAACATCTAGACAATGGAACATGGAATATACATTTTAAGGTAAGAGAAATGTTTATGTACAGCAGACCTAAGCTGATACAGATTTCAGATCCCGACTAAAAAGGTACTGCTGCTTGTACAGTCTGTTTGTACCAATTTTGAAACTGAAAAGTAAAGTTTAAATATCATTTCTTAAAATAGTGTGGAGTTTGAGAATCTAATTTTAAAAGCGCAATCGAATAAATACACAAAAGTAATCAATCAGTAATCATTCTCTATAAGATGTTTTGTTTACATCCAGTGGTTGTCCGTTATAAGTATGAAAGTAAAACTGTCTAATTTGACAAAATGTCATTAAATGACAAAATTAGTTTAATTTCCATGAAATGTGATGTAATGATATAGATTAAATTGATGGGTAAAAGTAAGAACCTAGTATAATTAAAAATTGAATTTAGCATTGTTTGTTTAAAACTGAATTTTTTTTTGCTTTCACTTTCTTTCTTGAGGCTACTGCAGCTTTCATAAGTTGCATTAAAGTACAGCAGATGTCTTTAAGAACCAGGAGTCTCTGGGAAGGTGTAGTCTCTAGGGGAAGGTTCTGAACTATTTATTTAATAATGATTTAGTTGTATCTGCCTAAAATGTCCCCATTAACAAACTGAACAGGAATAGTTAATATCTGTGATGTGGGAAAAACAGCACTGAGGAATAACATTATACAGTATGTGATGATAAGGCAGAGGTTAGCCCAAACAACACACATTCACACGCAGCACATGTGACATACCGACTTGTAGTATAATTATACTGATTTCATTAGCACATTGTTAATGAAGAATTGTTAATCTAGAATTGTTAATCTATTCAATGATCTTTTGTGTAACACCTTTTTGCCTGCTTAATTGTAGTTGTGGTGAGAAACCTAAAAGAATGCTTAGTCAATGTTTTTTTAAATGCATTATGAGGAGATTTTATAAAGTTAGCATTTTTAGGATGTGCCTTTTTCTTTGAAACAGATGAATGTTATTAAACTAGGCATTATAAAATGAGGCATTGCATTTTCTAATTTTTCATTAATAAATCACTCATTTGCTTATTTTAAAGGTTTTTATAAAATATTTGTATGCATTGGGGTTAATATATGCATGAATGAGTGTACAGAAAAAGTAACAATTGACTATTGGCATAATGAAACGTTAATGGACTTATAATGTACCACCTTAGGTGCTTGATTCCAGACTTTTCAGAACTGCTGTTCCTATGGTAATTCCACTTGATGGCAGTGTCAGTCTTCTGTGTTCCTGAACAGAAAAGTATAGATTTAAAGCCCAGGTGGGGACTGAAAATGAATGTCTGTGTGTATATCATATATTGTAAGAGGATAGTAGGTTGAGAAAAGATGGATGTCCTGAATCACATTACCCCGAAAACTGTGGGGAATGAGCTACAATCCTCAGTCACCTTGCCTGTTTAAAGAAGTCTGCTGGTCAGGTGTTTTAAAAAACAAAAAATAATGGCTTCCAGTTGTTGGCTCAACATCTGTTTTCTGGATACAGAGGCAGAACTTTCACTGTATGATTTCAAATAGAGGGGGAACAAATCAGATAAGGAGAAGTCTGAGACTTTTTGAAATTGTTTCAAGAGAAACTGTAGTTTCTACATCAGAATTAAGAAGACAAATTGTGAAGTCACTAAGCAGTTCAGCAGTCTGCTGTATATACTGAGAGACTTTGTAGAAATGTAGTTAGGGGCTCAAAAAAGAACTTAAAACTTTTTCTTCTTGTTTTTGTCAGGAAACCAACTGGTAGAATAGGAGAATCCTAATGTATAACCATGTCAC